TGTGAATCTTGTGTGAAAACACTTATACATAAGTAGTTTTTTTCATGCAGCCAGTGGGCCAAAAAAGCAGATTCCTCCATCCATACAAATGAGGTGTATTTGAGGAATCCTTCCCCTGCTGTCACAGTGTTTCTGACAACAGGACCTGGAAACTGTCAGAATACATTGATGAGCAGCTGCTGCTACTAAGTCCTCATGCACACTGGACATTTTGATAACGCTGGTAACGTTAGCTGTGTAAAGTCACATTAACAACCTGAGTTTTTCAGCTTTTATTTTAGTGTTTTGCTGCGTTTAGTGGCGTTTTGCCGCGTTTGCGTTTTTTAGAGTTTTTGTTACTAAAAGAAACAAATTTTTTTGGTCAAAAAAAGTCCAAAAACGCCAGTTTGCGACTTTTTGCTGCGATTTTTAGCTTTTTACTGCGTTTTGCCGCATTTGTCATCATTAGAGCGTTTTTACAGATAATAAAACTCTTCTAGAAACCCACTAGTTCTGGATTTTGTTTCCAGCCAAAAAACCTTGATTACAGTCTGTGTGGATGGACACATAGGATAACATGCTGGGGGGTTTACTAGCTGTAGAAAAAAAATGTCAAAAGCCAAAAACAGCAGCTGTAAAAACGTCCAGTGTGCATGAGGACTAATTGCCAAAAATTTTCCAACTTGTCCATTTCTAACGATTGAGCAGGGATGGCCACACACACTGGTTCCTGCTGAACCGGCAGAAATTCGATCAGTCTTTGTCTAGCTTAATGTCTCATTCAAACCATGTGCAGAGATGTCCATTTTTCTGCATTTTTTTTTTTGGCATGCAGACTCATTGAAGCATGCATGAAAACTGACGTAAACTGATGTATCTGCAAGTGAAATCTGTGTATCAGTTTTTCTGCATGTATGGTGTAAATGAGGCCTACGTGTTTGACACCGCATTTCCAACTACCATAATATAATGTGTAAAACAGGAGTATGCTTTCTGATTTTTTCTAAAATTTGTGCAGTTGCATGTTGGCTATTGCCTGTTCAAGTGGTGTGGTTGATCAATTACACTTCTTCCAGCTCCGGTTCACATATATGCGAATTGGTTGCATTTTGAACTTCAGCGGAACTGCTGATACAAAGTCCAGTACAATTTTCACCACCAGATGCAATTTCTAATGGGCTTGAAATCATGCTGCAAATTGGCCCCAACACTATACTGCCAAAAGTATTAGGACACCTGCCGTTACATGCACATGAACTTTAATGGCAGATAAGTCTTAGTCCGTAGCGTTCAATATTGAGTTGGCCCAGTCTTTGCAGCTATAAAAGCTTCAACTCTTCTGGGAAGGCTGTCCACAAGGTTTAGGAGTGCGTCTACAGGAATGTTTGACCATTCTTCCAGAAGTGCATTTATGAGGTCAGGCACTGATGTCAGATGAGAAGGCCTGACTCGCAGTCTCCGCTCGAATTCATCCCAAAGGTGTTCTATTGGGTTGAGGTCAGAACTCTGTGCAAGCCAGTTCCTCCACCCCAAACTTGGACCTTGCTTTGTGCACTGGTGTGCAGTCATGTTGGAACAGGGAGGGGCCATTCCCAAACTGTTCCCACAAAGTTGGGAACATGAAATTGTCCAAAATGTCTTGGTATGCTGATGCCTTAAGAGTTCCCTTCACTAGAACTAAGGGGCCAAGCCCAACCCCTGAAAAATGACCCCACACCTTAATCCTCCCTCCACCAAACTTTGCACTTGGCACAATGCAGTCAGGCAACTACCCTCCTCTTTGCAACTGGCAAACCCAGACATGTCCATCGGATTACCAGACAGAGAAACGTGATTCGTCACTCCAGAGAACACGTCTCCACTGCTCTAGAGTCAAGTGGTGGCGTGCTTTACACCACTGTATCCGACACTTTGCATTGCACTTGGTGATATCAGGCTTGGATGCAGCTGCTCGGCTATGGAAATCCATTCCATGAAGATCTCTACACACTGTTGTGCTGATTTGAGGGCCACACGAAGTTTGGAGGTCTTTAGCTATTGACTCTGAAGACAGTTGGTAACGTCTGCGCACTGTGCGCTTCAGCATGCACTGTCATTTTACGTGGCCTACCACTTTGTGGCTGAGTTGCTGTTGTTCCCAGTTGCTTCCACTTTGTTATAACACCACTAACAGTTGACCGTGGAATATTTAGTAGCAAGGAAATTTCATGGATAGACTTATTGCACAGGTGGCAACCTACAACGGTACCATGCTTGAATTCACTGAGCAACTGAAAGAGACCCATTCTTTCACAAATGTTTGTAGAAGCAGTCTGCATGCCTAGGTGCTTGATTTTATACACCTGTGGCCATGAGGTGATTGGAACGCCTGAATCCAATTATTTGGAGGAGTGTACCAATACTTTTGGGAATATAGTGTATGTGAACCTAAGCTGAACCTCTTTCTTGATTTTTATTATAGAGAGGATCAATCGTATTTAGGACATGTCTTAAAAACCTGTAGTTTCTCTTGCGATTGCCGTAAGTCATGCATTGAAGATCATAGGCATTAGATAACCACCTCTTCCAGCTGATAATTACTTCTTGTACTTAGTTTTCATTTTCCTTTTTACAGTAGATGAAAGGATCCATCCCACCTGCAGTGAGATTTTCCAAAAAGTTGGAATTAGCCTCCTATGAGATAATGACATCTTCTGTATCGATCAATTATATTCACCTTTTTTGTTTTTGTTTAATGGTGTTTGTTTGTAGACGTGTATAATTTATGTTCAGTAACCCTTAAACTTCGAATGCGTCAGTACATCAATTCCTCATTCGCCAACAATTCTAAAAGGCAGATGTAGGGCTTAGTGAGAATAATAGTTTTACTGAACAGATATAAGTCAAATTACTATACTTTACATTTCCTCTCAGAAGAATGTTATTTTACACAGAAATCAAAAAGGTAGAAACTTTGCTTAAAGTGTATGTCTGGACCAAATAAAAAAACCTTTTATTTAGTATTTCTCTACACTACATGCACCTTTCCCCATTTTTTTTCTCTTTAACCGCTTGCTGACCGCCCTATAGCAGAAATACTGCTACAGGGCGGCAGCGGTGCGCGAATTCACATATATATACGTGATTTTGCATTTCCAGGTAGGGGGCGCGCGCACCCTACCTGCGCCGCCATTCGCGGCAGTCAGTCACTGGGCCCCGCCCAGTAATTACTCGCTGGTGTCTGGTGATTTCTGAAGATCTCTGACGAGGAGGAAGACTGTTTGTTACTAACAGTTCTCCTCCCTGTCAGCTTGGACACACAGCTGTGGATGGCTGTGCACAGCACAACCATCCACAGTAGTGTGATTACAGTGAAACACACACACCTACACCTAGTAAAACACTCCCAGCACACAGTTAACCCTTTGATTGCCCCACATGTTAACCCCTTCCTGCCCAGTGCCATTAGTACAGTGTCAGTGCTTTTTTTAAGCACTGATCACTGTATTGGTGTCACTGGGGACGTCAGTTTCCCCCAGTGTCAGGTTATCCGCCGCAGTCCCGCTATAAGTTGCTGATCACCGCCATTACTAGTAAAAGTGAAAAAAAAATCCCAGCATATAAACAGCCATTTGTAAACGCCATAACTTTCATGCAAACCAATTAATTTACACGTACTGGGATTTTATTTTAGCAAAGACGTGTAGCAGAATACATTTTGACCTAAATTTATGACAATATTTGATTTTTTTATAATTATTTTACTGGACCTGTTTAATAGCAAAAAGTAAAAAATATTGTGTTCTTTCTCAAAATTGTCAGTCTTTTTTTTTTTGTAATAGCGCAAAAAAATTAAAACCCGCACAGGTGATAAAATATCACTGAAAGAAAGCTCTATTTGTGGGGAAAAAAAGGCCGGAAATTTAATTTGGGAGCAGCATTGCATGACCGCGCAATTATCAGTTAAAGTAACGCAGCTCCGTAATGCAAAAAATTACCTGGTAAGGAAGGGGAGTAAATCCTCTGGAGGGCCAGTGGTTAAAAATGTTGCAAATACAGAAAAATACCCGATAATCCTGTAAGAAATTCATCAAGCTCCTCACTTCCATTTAAGCAGACTAGAATGCCTCTGCTGCGCTGGAATCCCAAGTACGGTTATCAGCTTTGCTGGAGTCCTCCCCTGATGGGCTACAGAACTACTTGGGATTTCAGTCAAAGGCAGTAAAGTATAACAATAGGACAGAGCTACCCTTCCCATCAATAACCCAATGTGGCATCAGTGTCAACAATATAAACAAACAATAAATGTGAAAAACAATAGCATGTCTACCAAATAAACGTACACTTAAATGTGAATAAAAATCCAGACTCCTGCAGCATTAGATGGCAGCAAAAAAGAAATGTAAGGTCTAAAACGCTTTGTGTCCTTTACTGTGCAATCAGTTATTCTCTGAGGTCTCTATATACTCTCCATTTAGCATATCACATGGAAAATTATTTATAAACATCCTGCAAAGTTTCATTCTGTTTTAAAACCTTATGAAATGGCGGTAGACACACAAAACAATGCACTCCAATCTGTGCACTAAAAATCTCAAGCTTTTTAGGACTTGGAACAAGCTACTTGTATGCTCCTGCATCACAGCTCTTTCTGCTGTGTACTGCGTATATTTACACCATCCAGCTCTTCCGCACTCAATACCTCATCATAATAACTTATTTCTAACCATGGAAGATTTTCTACTTAGTGCGGAAAGAGGTGTAAATGCTCACTGGATTTCTGGCAGGATTATTAAATATTTTTTGTATTTTCAGTGATTTTGAGAAGGGAAATGTGCACGTATTGCAGGAATGCACTGGATGTTGCTTTTTTTGTTGCCCTATTTTTTTTTTTATTGTACCGAGACATTCTCGAAAGACTACCAAAGCAGTTTTGGAACTGTTTACCAGTTTAACAAATTAGATATATCTTTTTTCCACTCATTTCCTTGTGTGTTGTCTGACAACACATCATCTTTACAGTTTACTTTTTTCTTATTACAGCAGAGGAGGGGGATCCTCCCACAATGCCTCCAGCACCCCCAACTCCACCTGCTAAAAGGAAGAGCAAATTCTCCGGAATAGGAAAACTCTTTAAGCCGTGGAAGTGGAGGAAGAGAAAGAGCAGTGATAATTTTCGTGAGACTTCCGAAGGTAATTTGATTAAACAGTCATTAGTGTTGAAGGTAGATTGGGATTTCATTAAGACTTAGACCATAGTATCCCCATTTATATAGGTGCCAGTACAAATGTGAAGTTCAAAAAGCACATAAATTCTATTTTTTCTATATCTCCTTGGGTTCATAATCCAGGGTTGTATGATTTAAGTTGGTAAATTCTTCCAACCAGTGGCTTCAAGCAGCAGTACTGTGAGAGGCTTTTCCCCTGATTATCCCAGATTGCTAGTTTGTAACACTGTATTTGTCATTCTATTGCTCACCTTAATCTGGCCATACACTATTGGATTTTTTTCCGTTCAGTCTGCAGCCTTAATGAAAGAAAAAAGCTGTTTGATCTATCCATACATTCTAAAGAGTTCAGATGGATGAATCTCCTGCTGCAGCTATTGTATTGTGATAGTTTGTCCCATCATATGCCTATATAGAGACTGCATCTGATTGGATGCATCTGCTGTTTGTCTGAAAAATTTTCCTCCCTTGATTTTTTTAATTGAGGTATATCAGACAGGAGATGACCCAACAGCAGAGGCTGTTTGGGGAGCTCTCACAAGCATTTTTGTACAGGAAATGGCCAACTTTACAGTTCAATTTGAAAAAAATAGCCTGATTCCTTATAGCAGTACCCTAACAAAAAGTTACAGTCCTGGGACCAAAAACAAACTTTGCAAACTAGACTAACTTTATTATACAGTCATGTAACAACTCATCACAAACATGTCCGCAACCCAGTTTAGTTTAAACTCTGCCTTATAAAATATAATATTTTGCAACTATATTGCCATACTATTGATTATAGCTAGGTGTTTTTTTCCTTGTTGCCTTTTTTCCTCTCAAATTCATGCCATTTTTTTTCCCTGCCTACAGTTCTGGAAAGGAAGATCTCTATGAGAAAGCCCAAAGAAGAACTAATAAAAAGAGGAGTCCTCATTGAACTACCAGAAGAAGGTAAGTAGCAAGTCTTTTATTATAACCTTTAAACGTATGTAGGCAACACATATTTCTTAATCGTACAGTACAGGCAAAGTATTTTTAGACCGTGGATTATTGGTTCGTACTTTCAGGTGGTTGGACCCTGGCAAAGCTTTCAAAGACATGCCCCCAGGGTGCATCCCGCATAACCCTACCCTACTCTGTAAGTTTTCAGTTTTGTACTTGTGTCTTAAGGTGTCCTCTTTTCCTTCATTGAGAAATTACACTTAGTGTAAGTATTTTTTTATTTTTCTTTATTATTTTCACTTCAAATTTTTCAGTCAACTTCTCACTGGCATCCAATGTCACAAATAGTAGTGCATTTGGATCAGTGAATCCTCAGCAAACCTTGGGGGCTGTATACCCGGACCATACGCTGTGGGTACGGCCTGCAGTGTTGCTTTGGGCACTGGATCCTGCATGGGTGTTCACCTTTGCACTTGGATCCTGCATGTAGTCAGACGCAGGGTGCTTTACAGATCCAGGTGGTCCATCCCTATAGAGCCCAGTCCTTGAGGACCTATTTGGGCATATGCCAACCAAAGAAGGAGAAGCCTGGACTTTATATACTGTCCAGCATCATAGACCAGAGTAAGACAGGATCACACTGTTTGCTTCTGATTGTTACTGTTAAAGAACAGGGCGATATTTGATTAGTATTCATTACATTGTACAATTTTCACATTTTGGTGCTAAAAACTCAACCACTCAGAGCTTGGTCTGAACTTAGTCTTAGGTGGATGACCCGCAGTGTTAATTTTGTCAAGGAAAATATTTTCCTTGACTAAATTAACACTATTTTAGTCAACTAAAATACGACTAAAACATTTCAGATGATTAAAATACAACTAAAACCAAAATGGCAATTTAGCCAAAACACTAAAATATGACTAAAACTAAAATAGCATTTTATTAAAAGACTATGACTAAAACTAAATTGAAATTTGACGTCAAAATTAATACTGCATATATAAGTAGGGGACATTTACTAAGCTGCTGAAAGAAACAAAAAAATAAGAAAAAGGCTTTTCTTGTTTTTCTTACTATTTTAATGTTGGTAATATATTAAGGTAATATGTACAATGGCATTACAGCCAACAGAGTTTGCAGTTAGTTTTTTTTTGTTTATGAAACTTTGATTTAATTTATAAAGATGTTATATATCACAACGGCTAAATCTGTGTAGTGCGTGTTCAAACCATAATACCATAAATAATAACATGCTATTAGATTTTTACTCCAGGAGTATATAATGAGTTTGGCAGTTCTAGAGAAATGCCTAATTAATGCATTACAATTTAACTAAACCCATTAGATTTTAGTTGACTAACATGTACTGGAGATTTTAGTCAGCTAAAATACAACTAAAACTAAAACAATTCAGATGACTAAAATACGACTGAAACTAAAATGTCATTTTAGCCAAAAGACTATGACTAAAACTAAATCGAAATTTGACGTAAAAAATAACACTGATGACCAGGTGTCATGCCATATTTTATCGCCATGTCAGCTATAGTCCTTTATAAGGTATTTGTGTGCTTCCTCCCGTTCTTTTGCCACAAAGATTCGCTACAGGGTGGTCTGCATGCAAGTTGCTGTGTTCTCCTTCTGGACACGTTCAGCTTATATTCCGCACCCAACTTTGTGAGTGCCCCACAAGGAAGAATACCCTCACACACTGGTATAGTGAAGACGAGGTGAAAGGGAGTCATTGCAAAATAGCAGCCAAACATTCGCTCTACCGTCACACCACTCAATGTGATGATGCACGCCTTGTACTGGAGCAAGAGGAAGCTCTAACAGCAGTCGCTGCATCCACTTCTAGCTCTATTTCAGGCACGCAACAGCCTACTTCACAAAAGTAACAGTTTTTGCATCTATGTCGCAATTCCTCAGACAAATAACAGCCTTAATATAGCCATCTTTGTTCTTGGCTCAGAAACGCCATGCCTCCTCTCCTACTCCCATTTCAGAGTTGAAAACCAATATGCCTACCCCTACACAAGGCAGACACAGATAGGGAAGGAAGAGGACATAGAGGTGGCATTGAAGCTATGGAAAATTGTTTCCCTTAGGTTGCCCTATAAGTGGAAGCTTCATGCAACATACTTGCCATCAAGGAAAACCTCACCGCTACAGTACGCAAAAGCCTTAGCATTGTGCAGTTTGATTCTCCTCTGGGTACACAGACCTTCAAAAACTGTCAAAACGTTCCCTGTTCATGAACAGAATGTGCAATCTATGATGTTGGAGTCACTCCAGAAGGGATTTTTACTCCTTCCAAAATCTTTGTCGAACTCTATTCAGTAAAAGAAGAGTTCACAAACAAGTAGTTTATCCCTGTCGTTGATCTTGCCGTCTTTCTTAAAGTGATACTAAACACACACTGTTTAATTTACATTATCCCTTCTTTTTTTGGATGTGGATGATGGCACTGTAAATATTTTAATAAAAAAAAATCTAATTACCTTTTTTCCTAATTGATATACAGCTGTCACATGACCCTTTTCTTTCCCAGCCTGTCTGCAGGGAAACTGTAGACAGAAGAGCTTCTAGTCCTCTGCCGCTGGTCACTTGTTCAAAATAAAAATAACAGCCTTTGGAATACAGAGTAAAAATAATTTAGTTAAATCAATAAACTGTTTTAAATTGTTAAACAAATATATATTTGAAATCAAATCTTTATCAGTTTTTTGACAATAGCATGGTGTGGTGTCATGCCCCTCAAGCTTGTGTCTTTGAATAACGGAGGCGAAGACCCCAACAATCAGGTTGCCATACTCTGCCCCATTGTGTTTAGCTGGTTAGTGGGCATGGAGAGGAAGCGAGGGGAGTGTCATCTACCAGAGTGTATACACCCACATGTATGTCTCCATAGGCACATGAGCTGTTAAGAAAAAAAATTGAATGGGGAAAAGGGGATTTAATTGTCATTGTTGGTGCTAGATGGGCTGGTCTGAGTAATTCAGAAACTGCTGATCTACTGAGATTTTCACACACAACCATCTCTAGGATTTACAAATAATGGTCTGAAAAAGAGAAAATATCCAGTGAGTGGCAGTTGTGTGGACGAATATTCCTTGTTGATGTCAGAGGATAATGGGCAGACTGAGACTGGTTTGAGATGATAGAAAGTCAATAACTCAAATAACCATTCAGTACAACCATGGTATGCAGAATAACATCTCTAAATGCACAACACTTCGAACCTTGAAGCAGAGGGGACACAGCAGAAAAAGACCACACCGGGTGCCACTCCTGTCAGGTAAGTATAGGAAACGGAGGCTATAATTCGCAAAGGCTCATCAAAATTGGAAAATAGAAGATTGGAAAAAGATTGCCTGGTCTGATGAGTCTTGAATTCAGCTGCGACATTCAGATGATAGGGTGAGAATTTGGAGCAAACAACATGAAAGCATGGATCCATCCTGCATTGCATCAATGGTTCAGGCTGGTGGTGTAATGGTGTGAGGGATACTTTCTTGGCACACTTTGGGCCCCTTTGTACCAATTGAGCATCATTTAAATGCCATGGCTTACCTGAGTATTGTTGCTGACCATGTCCATCCCTTTATGTCTACAGTTTACCCATCTTCTGATGGCTTCTTCCAGCAGGATAATGCACCTAGTCATAAAGCTCAAATCATTTCAAACTGTTTTCTCGAACATGACAATGAGTTTTCTGTACTGCAGTAAGTAGTATATTTTGATTTTGTGCTGCCCTAGGCAAGACTAAAATCGGGCACCCCCCCATCTAAATTTGTCCCTCCACTTGCTGTTTAAGATCCACCTCTTCAGGAGAGGAGCATGATGGAGGGCAGTGTGACATGGGGGGGGGGGGGGGGGGGGGTGAGTCGTGGGACAGGAAGGAGGCAGCATGACGGGGGATATCAGGACAGGAGTAGGCAATCAGGACGGGTGTGGGGGGGGGGGGGGGGGGGGGGGTAACAAGAAATAAAGGAGATAGCGTGACGGGGAGGGCAGCATGATGTTGGGGGGGGCAGAGGGACAGGTGGGGGGCAGCATGACGGGGGCATCGGACAGGAACGGGGCAGCAGGACAGGAGCAGCGCAGAAGGACAGGTGGGGGGCAGCGTGATGGGGGGCATGGAACAGGAGCGCAGAGGGACAGGTGGGGGGTAGTGGGACAATGTGGGGGACAAAAGGGGGGGAAGTGGAAAAAGTGTGGGACGGTGACGGATGGGGGGACAATGGGACAGGGGAGAGAAGTGGGACAGGTGGGGGGCAGTGGGGCAGGAAGGGGGCAACATGCCGGGGGATATCAGGACAGGTGTAGACATCGGGACAGGTGGGGGGGCTAGCAGGACAAAAGGGAGTCAGCATGATGGGGGGAGGCAGAGGGAAAGGTGGGGGGCACGGTACAGGATCGGGGCAGCGGGACAGTAGGAGGAGCACAGAGGGGACAGGTGAGGAGCAATGGGACAGGAGGAGCTGAGAGGGACAGGTGGGGGGCAGCGTGATGGGCGGCATGGGACAGGAGGAGCGCAGAGGGACAGGTTAGGGGGTAGTGGAACAGTAGGAGTGCAGAGGGACAGGTGGGGGGCAGCACGATTGGGGCAGCGGGACAGGAGGAGCGCAGGACAGGTGAGGGGCAGTGGGACAGATGGGAGGTAGTGGGACAAATATGGGGGACAGGAAGGGGGAAGTGAGCCAGTGTGACGGAGGAGGGGCAATGGTACAGGGGAGGGAAGTGGGACGGGGGGGCAGTGTGTCGGGGGGACAGTGAGACAGGAGTGAGAAATCACCAGTCCTCCAAGCTTTTACCTGTTCAGCAGCAGCTCCTCCAGATGGTGTCAGGATCGCTCAAGGAGGGGCGTTGGTGGAATTAGAGATTCACATCATGGATGTGCAGCCGACAAATCTGCAGGAACTCTGTGATGCTATCATGTCAGTATGGACCAAAATCTCTGAGGAATGTTTCCAACAGCTTGTTGAATCTATGCCACCAAGGATTAAGGCAGTTCTGAAGGCACAAAGGGGTCCACTGCTATGTCAGTCATATAGTGACACTGTACATCTCTGGTCACAGTATGTAAAATGAAACATTGTGAAAAAATTGTATTTAACCACTTGCCTCCCCATCACATTACATTTACTGCTCATATATGTACGTGATTGAGCCTGCTGCGTGCCCCTCCTGTGACCACTGTGTCCGGTGATCACAATTACCGGTAACCTAGTATCATGCATTCACATGATAACAATGTAAATAATCTGTCATTAATGGCTTTCCATTCATGAACAGCTTGCGTACTGTTGTGATCTGTGATTGGCGCACTGCAATCACATGGTACCTGGCTACCTGTACCATGTGCTTATCTTTGCCAATCACAGATCACAATCAGAAGCAAGCTGTTAATGAATAGGAAACCCATTCATGACAGCTAAAGCCATTGCTTATACAGTGATCATCACTGTATAAGCAATGACAGTGTTAAAAAAAAAAAATCCTGATCACCTATGGTGACACTGAGCAACTCTGATGACAGGATGTTGGAATAAAAAAAGGTTAAAAAAATATTTTGTTATAAATTATTTATTTTTTTCTTTTTTTGTACATACACCATCACATTAGTCATATGATGGCGCTGTAATGCAGTGGTGAAAATATGTAAAAAAAAAAAAAAAAAATTTGTGAAAAAAAAAATTTAATTTAATTTCTTAACTGTTCTAAAAAATGTGGCAAAAAAATTACTTCAGAAAACTCACCATGTCTCTTACTAAATACCTTCGACTACTATCCAAAAAGGAGTCATTTGAGTGACAATTGTACTGTCCTGGCATTTAAGGGCCTCGAGAAATGAGATGGGCCATCAGTACATCAGGACTGATCAGTTTTCAAATATATATAAACATAAAGTGCAACGCATGAAACAATGATAGTGAATATGTAATGTATCAAAAAAATTACAATGGACACATCAGTGCAATCAATCCAATATCATATGTAAAGTCCTTCCAATAGCATTATCACATTTCCTTCACACTGATTGATAATCACAAAAAAAAAAAAAAAGTGTCCGGTCCACACAATGCTCTGGGGTCCACCACCACTCTGCACTCACCAGAGGGCTACTTGTTAGCCAATGTAACAGACGATCTATGCAATCCACTCTCCAACATTCTCTGGTCAGGTTACCTCCTAGGGGAAAAGCTCACCACACGGAGCCCAAAGAGATGGTGTACATAGTGTGGTATTTATTTAAAATAGATGTAAAAACATTCCACGTGGAAATAGCTTGTAAGCATTAAACATGCAGCATACCAAAATGGCACGGAGTCGGCAGCATGACGTCAGCACATAGGCTCCAACCAGCGCGTTTCATGCACACGCACGTCCTCGGGTACGCCCATTGCCAACGTCAAGAGAAGACACCATGTTTTCTCATGACCATAAAACCCTGCTGCCCGTGCCATGTGATCATTGCGACCAATCACAGCAGATCACATGACACTTTTACACAATGAATGGCAGTGTTTCATGCCATTCAAAGTGTATGGTTGTGATGAGCACTGTGATTGGTCACAGTCATCACATGGTACAGACAGTCAATCACAGCCTATCTGTACCATGTGATTAGCTGTGGCCAGTCACAGCTAATCATAATCGTAAATACTAAATGAATAGTTTTCATTCAGAAAAAATGGTTGTTTATAACTGTAAAATTCAGTTATAAGCAATCATGGTGTGTAAAAAAAATCCTGATCACTTCCTCAGAGTAGTACAGTGTTACTGTGGTAACACTTTATTGCTCTGGTCATGGTATGTAAAAAAAAAAAGTAATAAAGAAAAAAAAATATTAAAAACATTACATTTTTTTTTTTTTTTTTTTTTTACATACTGTCACCAGTGAGTGTTCCTGATCACTGTCATATCAGCATATGAGGATGCTGTACTGCACTGGTGAAAGTATGTAAGAAAAATAAAAAAAAGTGAAAAAAAACATTTTTTAATAATGTTTTCATTTTCCAAAAAATTGTAACAAAAAATTACAGCTTCAAAAAACTCACCATGCCTCTTACTAAATGCCTCCTTTCCTTTTCATTGGAGAAGCATGGATTGTTCTGCATTTTTTGTGGATAAGCACGCATGCCACTATATGTATTATTAATTATAGTGGAATCACATTCAACGCTCAGGAGGGAGTTTTGTGGACTCTTATTTAATACATAACGACGAAGCACTTTTCTCTGTTCTCTATAAGTGATTGGTTGAATGTATTAAGGATTAGCTTTGTGTTGCACTGCACTTTTGATTTAGATTTTGGTTTCAGCTAGGTGTGGGAATGCACGTCAGTGTTTTTAGCGGCAACAATAACCATTTACATAATATTTGTATAGTACACTTTTTTTAGGTAGCCCAGTGATTTCTTTTTCTTTTTTGTAAATCTCCTCCTGTGCTTTTACGAGCCCATTTCACAAAGGTCAGTGGAAGATACCTAGGCAGTTCGGCCTCAAAAGACTAGCTGTGCAATGCTGCCATCTGGCCTTCTGGACATCCAGACATCCAGTTGGTAGAACCTTGGGAAGTTATTAATAATCTTCTGTAGACGCAGCTTTCAGCTGCTAGGTTTTTGCAGCAACACTCTGATGCTGGGTCCTTTCTGGGTGTTGGCCTTGTTGGCACAGTTCTGTTTGCCTAACTGTTGCCCACCCTTCTCATTCATTACCCACTTGCCTTCCACCCGCCCACGTTTTACTGCAGGTGGGCAACTCGTACAGGGACAATCATGTGCCTGCACGTCGGCAGTGTCTTTTGGGTTCAGGGCACACGCATACCACCCCTGTTCATGAAGGGGGTAAAATCTTTCGGAGCTCAAGTGGTTACTTGGGAACAGTTCTGGGTCTATGAATACTTTGCCTGTATGATTAAGTTAAGATGAATTTTGAATTACATATAAATTCCATATCTTGGAGTATAGTACAGGACACCCTCCCATCCATTCCTTGGTTACTCTGCATTGCTTGCTACAAAACTGAGAACTCGTGTAGTGGGGTAGGGTTTCTGGGGAGGTTCCTATAACCCAGGGTTTTAAATAATTGGCCTGTGTCCTGTACTGTACTGCAAGCAATACAGGTAAATCACAATTCCTTTTTTCCTTTCATTCCTTGATGTTAATGTAATGAGCGCTCACATGTTTGGTCTTCAGATATCCCTGTGACAGCAGAATCTCCTCCTCTGAGGAATGGCCACATGAGCCAGAGGACAGCAGAGCCACAAGAAAAAGACAAGAGTCTAAAGCGGAGCAGTCGGCAAGGTAAGGTTGTTAGTGCAGTGACTATATATGTTGCCCGCACACCACCCCCCCACTGACTTCTCCATCACGTCCAACAATTCCACCATCAGGCCCACCCTGCAGGCCAGAGTACTTGGTGTCATTCTTGACTCCAATCTATCCTTCCAGCCCCAAGTCCAATCACTAACAAGCTCATGCAGGCTCAACCTCCGCAACATCGCCAAAATCCGTACGTTCCTAACCCCAGAAACCACTAAGCAGCTCATCCACTCCCTCATCATATCACGACTCGATTACTGCAACTCCCTCCTCACTGGCCTGCCTGCCACCTCCCACTTCAGTCTATCCTGAATTCTGCGGCCAGACTCATCCACCTTACCAACCGCTCCGTTTCCGCCACCCCCCCCTCTATGCCAATCCCTCCACTGGCTTCCAATTGCCCAACGGATCAAATTCAAAATCCTAACACTGACATACAAAGATGTCCATCATACTGCCCCAAACTACATCACCGACCTAATATCCAAGTACCACCCAAAACGCACTCTCCGCTCCTCACAAGACCTCCTTCTCTCTAGTTCCCTGGTCTCCTCCTCCTATGCCCACCTCCAGGACTTCTCCAGGGCGTCACCCATTCTCTGGAACTCCCTACCCCAATCCATCAGACTATCACCTACTCTCCTCTCCTTTAGGTGCACCCTGAAAATCCACCTCTTCAGGGAAGCCTACCCCACCCCCTGCTAATTGCTGACCTCCTCCACTCTTCCTACCACTCCATCCCCCACAGCTATTTCCTCCTGTACCACCATCCCCTCCCTCCTAGATTGTAAGCTTGAAAGAGCAGGGCCCTCAATCCCCTCATGTTTTGCATTGTATTGGTATTGTTCTGTCACATGTTCTGTCCCCCTTTTGTAATGTACAGCGCTGAGCGAACTATCGGCGCTTTATAAATACTGTATAATAATAATAATGAGGAAAGGTGCAGATCAGGATCTACTGATTTCACAGAATCAAATAAGCAGGGTCCTCGAACCCCTAGTGTATCACATTGTATTGTTATTGTACTGTCGCATTTACTGTCCCCCATTGTAATGTACAGCGCTGAGCGCACTGTTGGCGCTTTATAAATACTGTATAATAATAATAATAATGTTGGAGTAAAAGGTTTTGTTTTGTGGAAGTTTCTGTTTTGTACACACAGGATTTGCTTTTTTCCCTTGTTAGATTCCGTGGGATCCCGTCCCAATTCACAGGTGGAACCTGCACAACAAAACTTGCGAGAGCCCTCCAAACAACCTCTGCTTCCTCCTAAAAGACCGCTGTCCACCTCTGTCTCTACTGGTCATAATCAGAATGAGGGGCAAAAAGTAGAGCAGAACCCCACTGTAACACGATTGCCGAGCTCAGCCCCCAACCCTGCACCTAGGACACTACACCCAGCACCTAAACAACCTCCAGTACCACCTCCTAAGCCACAGAACAGAAACAGCAACCCATTAATGGGTAAGGAATATTGAGTAACCCTGTTTCCTTTTTATTACTCTTTTGTTCTTATGAAAGACAGACATCCATGCAAAGATATCAACTCATATGACATTGGATAACATTTAAAAATATACGCCTTTTTATTTATGAGCCTATAACTGTTGTACTGCTGACATTTATATATTTGGAGAACATTTCAATTGTTCCACATTTAAATGTTTTATATTCTTTTTATGGTTTTATACAGTATACATAAAGTTTTTTATAGTGATTAGCAAAGTGTGCCCATTCCTGTATCTTTCTGGTGTTGCCTGCAGTGTTTGTGCATTGTTTTGAGGTCATTCTCTATGCTATGTGCATGCTTTGTATATTCTGTGTACTGTATATATCCTGTATATTGAACAATGTGTATACTTTATATACATTGTTTGATGTTCTGTGTTATGAATGCTGTGTATTTTCTACCTTTAATATACTGTGTGCTGTTGTCTGGTGTGCACATATTGTTGTGTGTCCTGTTCTCTGAATGGCAAGTATGTTTTGTTTCAGTATGTTCTGTTCTGTTTATGCTGTGAATGTTCTGCCTACACTCTGGATGTGCTGTGTGCGCTGTAAATGGGCTCACCCACTCCATTTTCTGAGAATTTAGTCACTCAAGAGTCTGTGGACTCTGAGAGGTTCACTAGATGTTTCAGCATTGCAATTACTAAACAACATAAAGGGGTTATTTGTTAAAAAAAAACTTCAAACGAGTGTTAATCAATTTACTTATAAACAATGGGTTTTGCCTTGAAAGCATGCAGTTTCATGTATTGGGATGATTTTTGACTGACATTTTTCAATTTTACACCCTTCATTTTTGTAGCAGAGCTGTGCCAGGCATTGGCAGGAAATACACTAACGCCAGTTGGCTCCCGTCCCTCTCCTCCACTGCCTGCAAAACGAGGCCCTCCCCCTGCTACAGATGTCATCAGCAACAGAGAAAAGACTACGTCCATATTGATCCCACCACCACCTGCAAATGAACCTACTGTTCCTTCTTTGCCATCACCAACACTTCCCCCACAATCACTTGCTTTACATCCATCACCACCTGAAGATCCATTGCCAGTGGAGGTTCATCCCCCAAGAAAGGAGGAGGAAAAAGAAGAAACATCACTTACTGTGCCATTGCTTCCTCTTCATATACGCATTCAGCAGGCTCTCAACAGTCCTCAGCCTTTGCCTGTCATAGATAATGCCCAGAGGGCACACTCTCTTTCTTTTTTTCCAAATGACTTGGGACAAGGTGAAGAGAAAACAAGAGTGAGATCTCTACCTATCACTATAGAGCTTCTCAAAGTGTGAGTATAATTAACCACCTACAGGGGTTGAACAAAAGATGGAAACACTACATAATTTGTAGGTGTGAAAACGATGACATGTTTCACGTTAAAAGCGGAAGTGACGTAATATTCTTTTGTTTCTGCTGTGTGATGAGACACCTAGGTAACAGATGGGAAGCCTGTGTGCACTGCTAGTAATATGGAGTCATGTCAGCTTCAAAGAGGGCAAACTGTCGGTGCCCTCTTAGCTGGTGCCTCTGTTACTAAACTTGCCAATTGATTCGCCATGTCGCGAGGTACAGTATCAAAGGTTATGATGGCATAGCTAGATTCTGGGAAAATGTCATCTGATAACATAAGTGCAGTCGCGAAACAAAAGGACGTTTTGCAGGATTGTGATCAAGAATAAGAATAACTGCTGCAAAAGTGACTGCAGAGCTCAATCTCTGTCCCCTTGCAGCAGTTGTTTTCTTATTCTGGGGCACAATCCTACGCAATGTCCTTCTGTCTTTTTCGGTCAATTGACCTTGTTGAGCACACTTATGCATATCGGACGACATTTTCCTGGAAACTGTATATGCTGTCATAACCTTCGAAACTGTACCTCGTGACATGGCAAATAAATTGGCAGCTTCAGTCAAAAAGGCACCAGTTAGGCGGGCACCAACAATTTGCCCTCTTTGAAGCTCGGTAAGCTCTGTCAAGACTGTGTTAGTAGCAGGGCACGCAGTTAATGACGAATTGAGGCTTCCCACCTGTTAGCTAGGTTTCTCATCACAAAGTGGAAGCAAAAGAATGTTACATCACTTCTGCTTTCAACACAAGGCATGTCATCACTTTCACACCTGCAAATCATGAAGTGTTTACATTTTTGTCTAACCGCTATATTTTTACATTTATTTTGTCTTTTGCCCCGCATTTGTATTATTATTATTAATATATATTGTTTTTATAATTTTCAAGGCCTGATGATGATGATGATGAGGAGGAGATGAGCCTTGAAGAAGATTTGCCACCAGAAGTCTTGAATCCCCATGCCTCCAGGGTATATATTGGCGATGTGCCTTCAGTTACTGTAATACCAAGCTACATACCTCAGTCAGTCCAGGAGGAGGAGGAGGAAGAAGAGGAAGACGCCGGCATTAGTGATAGTGATTCAGAAGGGCCTATACTGTACAAAGAAGAAGAGGAGGAGGAGGAAGATGATGAAGAACAAACAAGTAAGTGGGTGAATGCTGCTTTTGAATGTAAGTTTGAATCCCTGCTAGAGGCTGCTTCATGTGCAGTATTCCTTTATCTGCATATATTTTAATTCTGCATATATTTTAATTCTTTGCAGCTAGCAGCCATGTTGATCGCTGCCATCTGTCCTGTGAAAAAATAAATAACAGATTGTCAATTTGATACAAGATAAGTCCATGAGATCCATTCATGCTAGCTTTAAAAGTTTGTGTATGGTAATATGTGTTTTAGACACATGGGTTTTGCATGTTCTTGGGATACTCCCATTCATTTCTAATGGGCTCCCAATGTGCAGTCTGGCAGGAAACACACCTGGCTTTCAATGCAAATATTAAGACACATGTGCTGTGTTGCTGTTCGTTGGTGAAGAACTTTTGTGGACCCATGGGATCTTAATTGGCACTAAAAATAAGTGCTATTTAGTAGTGCAATTGGGACAGTGCCATGTGTGAACTAGAAGCCCTTCTCCAGTGAAAGCTTTTAACTCATTTTCAATAGAGGAATAGTCATAACCTATGTATGTTTTTAATTATGGTCTATTGTCTCCATTAAGGAGATTTCCTTTTACTTAATCCACACTTATCTGACCACTTATAAAGTCAATGAAAATCTTGTCAGTAGGTCCTACTGCCATAAGTTCTATCCCTTCTTTTCTGTTAAAGTTCTTCTTTGTTCCTGATGCAAGAAACTTCCCTAATTTCCTGTCTCAATGGCCACGCAGAAACTCCCCTCCCACACAGCAGAGGAAATTTCCTGAATAGGGACACAGTCATAAAAATCTGGCAGTGATTCTAAAATTGGGTATACATGTATACCATAGAATATTTCCACCCAACCTGCAGACTGACCAAAAATAATTTAACAGATTCCTCATCCAAGCTATACAGTGCAGATGGAGGAATCTCCTGCTGCAGCTATTGTATTCTTACAACCACAGCCCAAGCCTGTCAGAATACCCAAATAGTGGCTGCATCATCAATCAAAGGATGTTGGGTGGGAGGTGGCTGACAGGGCCATCCACATAGCAAATTTAGTCTGGTTCCTCAGGAACAAGTTGAAATTGGCATAGTGTGCACCCAGTTTAAGACGGTGCTTTGGATAGCAATAAGCTGTAAAACAAACTTGTTCTTTACCCATGCAGAGCACAGCAACAATTTCACTTTAATGGCCTCGGCAGGAGCTTACATATGCCTTCCTTTCACTCCCCTTACTGCTCAATTTGTCCTCCAATGGTGAAGAAATCTGTTTGGTGCTTCCAAGTATTAAAAGTTTGTAAAGCCCTAGTAGCAACACACCTGCTTTTTGAATAATAGAAAAAACCTTCTGCGCCACTATAGTTATAGATAGGACTATTGAAAAAAGCTGCAAACACCTAGACCTAGACACCACTAGCACAAGGAAACAAAACAAATAAAATGGTGTTGCACTAATATCAATAGTACTAAGGACACAATAATTCGAAGAGTGGGTAGACAGAAAAAAATAATCCCAAAACAGAGGTGATAAGTATAAAAGCCTGAATCCAGACCTAATTAGGTGCAATATGAACTGTGACAAAGACAACGTGAGTAATAATCAACAATTGAACATAAATAATACATAAAAGTGTAAAGGCCTGAACCCAGACCAAACTAAGTGCAATATAGATTGTGATGAAATACAATGTGAACAATAGTCACCAAGTGAACATAAATAATGTATTCAACATAATAGGACTAACACATCCTAAATAAAAGTGCAGAAAAAGACACTGTGCAAAGAAAACTGTGCCAAAATCAAATGGCAAAAAATATGTGCAAAACTAATTATACAAGGTGCATGAAACTATAAATGCATGATAAATAATACATAAAAATGTAAAGGCCTGAAACCCAACCAAACTAAGTGCAATATGGATGTTGATTGAAAAAATGTGCACAATAATCAACCAGTGAACATAAATGATGTATTCAACATAATAGGACTAACACGTCCTAAATAAAAGGGCACAAAAAGCAACGTGCAAAGAAAACTGGGACAATCAAAAAGCAAAAAAATATGTGCAAAACTAATCATACAAGGTGCATGAAACTAAAAATACACCTCATAATCAGGATTGATGCCAGTGAAAAACGCACAGTGGAAATAAACGTGCGTCAATAAAACACAAAAAATAATTAAAGCAGCGTGACATATAACAAATAATAATGAGTGACCATCAAAATAAACATAAGTGATCATCAAATCGGCATAAAGTCCATGTAAATAGACCGCCAACTCCAAACGAACAAAGAAACTGGGTGAAATGAATGATAAATCTGTCACCGGCAAAAATGCCTCCTCACCTCTATGCCAAGACGCCAAGGGCCCACACAGCTGTTTATTTTGATTATTTATGTCACGTTTCTTTAAGTATTTTTTGTGCTTATTGACACACGTTTATTTCCACTGTGCGTTTTTTACTGGCAAACATATATGCATATATTTGCACATATATATTTTTTGCTTTTTGATTGTCAGTTTTCTTTGCACGACGCTTTTTGTGCCCTTTTATTTAGGATGTGCTAGTCCTATTATGTTGAATACATCATTTATGTTCACTGCTTGATTATTGTGCACGTTGTTTTCATCACTATCCATATTGCACTCTGGTTTCAGGCCTTTACATTTTTATGTATTTATCATGCATTTATAGTTTCATGCACCTTGTATGATTAGTTGTGCACATATTTTTTGCCATTTTATTTTGGCACAGTTTTCTTTGCACAGTGTTTTTTTTTCTGCACTTTTATTTAGGACGTGTTAGTCCTATTATGTTGAATACATTATTTATGTTCACTTGGTGACTATTGTTCACGTTGCATTTCATCACACCTGCTTTTTGATTGACAACTGTCACATGAGGCAAAAAGAGTCTTCAGTCCTATGTAATTTCCAAGTCAAAAAGGTGTGAAACAGGGAGAGCCCTCTTCAATGGTCTTCCTAATTTATAAATTTCGGCCGCTGAAGCTAGTGTTCAGATTTTATTTGGATGCTGTGAGAGTGGAATAACCCACTGGTCTTTTAATTCTCTCAGAGTTCTGGCACGTAGATCTCTGCGTCTAAGTTCCCAGGGCTGTCCACCTGACAATGCCGTTGTGAAATTATTTCTTGTTACCAGTTGATTCTCTGCAAGAATACAGCAGGCATGAAAACCCTTTCTTGGCTTATGCAGGGATAAGACAGGAAAGCAAGATGTGGCTAATTATCCAGATCGTAGCATCCATCAGGTAGGACAGGTAAAGGAGTATTTCTGGAGACTCCCTGCTGCTAAACATTGCTAAGGCACATTAAAGCAGTATGAAACCCAACAGCAAACAATATATTGCAGCTTTCCAATTCTTAGCTGTGATGGCTTTATTAGGTTTTTTTTTTAGGCTTTCTTGCTTCTATTTTCATTTGGTGATCCAGCCAATAATTTTGTTTTTCAAAAGAACAAGATCTGTTGCGGTTAGAGGGTTGAGAGAAATCATTTACCACTGACAAGGGTGCTTTCATTGATCTGCTTTTATTTATTCATGTAAAACCTTTATCCCAAAAGTAAAAAAAAGTTTACTGTAACGGATTATATAGTGTGAGCTGGAGTTTGGCTTCATTTTTTAAGTGTATTTAAATCTACTAGTACATCTAGCACTCCTCTCCTCTGTAAGCTGACAAGGCTGCTGTCTGCTGGTGCCCCCTGTCTTCCTTCATCCAGAGTGGGGGCACTATAATACAAGATGTGTTACTGGCTAGATCACCAGGGGAGAACCGAGAGATAAGGTCTAAAAATAAAAGAAAACTAATGCAGCCACTATATCTAAGGAGTGGTAAGATGAAAATATATTACGTTTTGGGTTTAATACGACTGTAAGGGCTTTCCACGTTTTGTAAAAAGAGGTGCATGCATCTATACTTGCTCAGTAGACCTGTCTTAAGATATTTATTTATCATTCATTTGGGTGCACAGGGTTAATTCTAATACAAGATATTTCTATAGAATATTGGATATAACACACACCCTTCCATCCTGATCCAGTTTTATTCTAGTGTCTTGGGAAAAGAATGTCCTTTTTCTCTGAGAGGAGCAAATCCTTTTCACTAAACATTTTTCTGCTTTTATAAATGACCCTTTTCAGTTCAGTCAACTTCTTTGCTTACCGCAAAGCCTGAGAGCTAATTTCTTGTTTTCTGGATTGGTTGATCCAGACACCCAATGTACTGTGTGATTTAGCCACAGATCACTTTACAGGTACAGAGCCATGGTACACCCATTGGTGGATCCCTGTTCAAGACTGTTCAGTCGGTATGCCCACTAGCAGGTTGCAAACTGTCTGGATGGGCATGTTCCCTGTGTCTTGCTCTGGCACACTTGATTGTGTTTGGGGGCTGCGGGGCACCTTTTGGACCACTACTGCAGTAAGGCCTTGCCCTTTTGAATCACAGACAGACATAAATTTCCCAGCACACTTGCCATCTAGCTTGCAAAAAAAACAAATTGACTCTAACAATTCACATTAAAAACAGGTTTAGTTGCACACATTTCCAAATACATGTGGCAGCCTACCTCAAGGCTCCCCTGTATACTACAATCCTAACCCTATATTTTTGGGAGTCACCAAGTTGGAGCATACATAGTAGTGGATAAATTAAGGACAGGTTTTGTATAGCTGGCTTAAGGATAACTCTCACATTATCTAGAGAGTACTTTCTCCAACATGTCAGACTTGTTCACTCAAAACGCAGGGGATGCAAAATTGCTTCTTCACATTCTCCAAAGTCTGCCTCTGGCTATTCGTCGTTTATCTACTACCTGGCAATAGAGTCGAAGCGTATTGAGAGTCTCACTACCTGGAACTATTCCGACCTTCGGTTAATTGACGGTGAGTGTGGTGTACTATCAACCATCACTATATACTGCTACACACCTCACCTGAAGTCTTTCCATTATCTCTCATCTGTACCTTACACTCTTTAGTCG